GGCCGAGGCCCGGAGTCGCCATCTCCAACGACCGAGCTCTCGCCTCAAAATGGCGACACCAATCGGAAGGCGGGCGTATTGACGTCATCTCTCCGGTGGGTGGCGCGTCACGCGCGACAGGCAGTTTCCCCTCTTCGTCGCGCCGCGCGCTCGATGTCCTCGATGAGTGTCCCCTTTCGTTCCGCTGTCATGTATCGCGCTGTCAAAATTTCGTGTCGTGTGCGCCCGACCCGCGCTACTCGTTACGACAAACGCGTTATATGTTAACGTCAATCGGATCCCGTAGAGATGGTGAATGTGGACGCTATACGAAAGAATTATCCGCTGCACTGGCTCGTCTGGCACAACAGCTATGTAGAGCTCGACAAGGAACTGTCCACGAATCAGGTTTGCGCAGACCTGCCGTTTAGCAGGCGCTCTCGCGTCTCATTTGGCATTAATTAGATCCCGCACGCCGACGGTGCCGCGCACGTGATTTTAGCTTTCCGATCGCGCGTTTCGCCCGCCGCTTGCCGCTCCGCGAAATCTCGGCCCCCCCCCCCCCGGGGGTGTAGCGCGTCAGCGGGCTCGGTTGTCGACGACGGCGAGATCTCCGCCGCGTAATTCGCGTCCTGGAGCAAGCGATAATTGCGTAATTGTCCGCGGGACGAATAACGCGATACGCGTGCACGTACGCTCGTCCGCTGACAGCGTTTTCCGCGTATTCCTTTTTTTCCCCCCACATCTCCTCCGTCTGACTTGATCGCTGTAACGATAATTGGGCCTCTTTTATCAAATGCTACAAAGCCCTCTCGAGCCTGCCAGTATCGTACATTCAGTGATAAACGTGACTAAGACTGATAAATTATGTAACGCGAATAACACTTGAGCAGACGCGAGAAAAGATTAAAGGCGGTTTTACGCTGGAGAGTCTAATTCGTGAGAGACTAGCATGGCTGGAGGGTGTTTTATATTTTTTAATAAGTACACGTATGCCGGAAAGAGAGGAGATGAGAGCGATGTCACGTCTTATTTTGCATTGCGATAAAAGGAACCTTTCCTCTTTATGAATACCAGCGGTTCTATTCAAAAGCCAGATCTACAAGTGAGATAACGAAAAGCAGAAGTCTACGTTTTAATAAAAATGAGAATCTCCTCTCTGTTAGCTAATTACCTCTTGATATAAATTTGAATTAGTTGCACAAGATGCAACTGAAACGTCGCTGATGAACAGAGAGTAGGTAGCAGTCAATTATAGTTTTTACAACGTGACGAGTTGATTTATGTAATTTTTTTTTAAGCGCAGTATTGTACCATCTGTGAAATTACGAGCGTGTAATTGTATATTCGTTTGAACTCACGATTGCGCAGTTGCCTCGAGCTTGTAGTCAAGCAGGTTAAAAAAATGCTTGAAGCCTTTCATAAAAAAAGAGAGAGAAACCTTAGGCGTGTTGGACTTCTGATGCACCGCCGAAGCGGAGTCAAGCAATCGGGCATATTTTATAATGCGAATATGAAGGCACTTGGAGATAACGCGTTTGAATTAGTAGACATGCATACGGAAAGAGAAGCTAGACGCAATAACGGTATAGTAATTATCTTGGCCGGTATCGATTATAATATTTGTATATTTTGTAGCATGATATAGAAAAGTATGACAATCGTGGAAGGACACCACTGATGTTAGCGGTAACCTTGGGTCATACGGATTCCGCTGTAGTGCTGCTGCAGCACGATGCCAATGTTAATACGGAGAACACTCAAGGATGGACAGGTAACTTTGGTCCTGTTCATAATCTGTTGGGACGTTTGTATCTTGGATAAGTCTATTTATTTTCGTCGTGTGAGTAATCAATTAAATGAATTTTGGTACAGTGGTCCAAGAGGCAGTTGGTACGGGAAATCCCAGATTGCTGCAATCGGTACTCGCCAGGAGAGACTACCAGAGGTATTGTACTCGGGTGGCTGGTATACCGGAGCTACTTCACAAACTCAAACAGGTGAGCTGCGTGTGGCAGCCAGTGACGTATTGATTCAATGTGACGATTAATTCAGATACATACGCAGTTCTCACAAAATATGCAATCTCTTTTATTGAAAGAGGAAGTTCCTTTCTGCAAGCTCTATAAACTAATATTAACCCGTGTGTTTCTTGCGTGAACTGTCGTGTGTAGAAATATTGACTTTTTCACACTCGTGATCACCAATACAATGGTCCTAGTAATAGAAATCCTTTTCAGGCGCCTGATTTTTATGTAGAAATGAAATGGGAGTTTACAAGTTGGGGTAAGAAATGGAGGATTTAATAACATCCGCTTTCAATTTTTTATTTTCGAGATCTGTAGTTTAATTCATGATTCAGATCCAATTGTCAATTTACATACTTGGCTAATTCATTTTTATTAACACACATGTAGTTAACTGCCGTTCTTTCTGTTGACCAGTTCCTCTTGTATCTCGGATGTGCCCAAGCGACACATATAAGGTTTATAAGCAAGGTAGTAATGTGAGGGTTGATACTACTCTATTAGGCTTTGATCACGCAAATTGGCAACGTGGCAATCTAAGCTATGTCTTCAAAGGACACAGTAAGCACAGGCAGCTTTAATAAATATGCTTTAATATTGCTAACGTTTGTGCATGAGTGTTGTATTAATTTTTTACCTTGCTATTAAGTCTAGGGAATGTCAATTATTTATTTACTATTAAATTCCATATTGATGCAAGCTGCATCAACTCTACCTAGTAATCAGACGTGAAAACAGTTATGTATTCAGTTTGGATGTTCATCACACAGATGATAAAATTCTAATATTTAATTTGTGCATTGCATTGCTAAAAATTTGATAAAAACCTGCAACATTTTTGTATACATAAACACAGGAGACTTTTTTTTAACATCAGTAGTATACATTTTTATTTTTTCTCTTTTCGTTACTTGTTCTCATTAGTTTTTATAAATACAATTACACTGAGTAAATTAGCGATTAAATAATATAAGACAAAATATTTTTATCATCCATACATGTGTTTATATAATATAATAATATGATAGTAATACAGTCTCTTAGTTTACTCTAATAATTTAATATATTAAATAATAAAATTATATTTAACATATTAAATTATTTAATATGTTAAAATAGTTTTTATAAAATTTATATAACATTTTTTTAGGTGATGGGGCAACAATATTGGAGGTAGATCATGAAACGAGAAAAGTTTATATTGAACATATGAAACTTATAGGATATGATAATGTACAATTCATGGTACCATCTGAAGAATGTGTGATAGCTCGACTTACTAATCCTATAGCCACAACATATGTAGACACAGATAAAATTAGTTTTGAACGGTAATTATCTGTCACTATAACATTTGATAATGATGGATGCACGTTTTGTTTTGCATTTATTTCAATAATATTGTTTATGTTAAATTAGCAATAAAGCAGGTCTATGGGGATGGCGATCTGACAAAAGCGAAGGAATAAATGGTCAGGAGTGTAAAGTTTTTAGCGCAAGCAATGTGGAATTAGTAACTAAAACCCGACTAGAGCATTTATCTGAAGCTGATAAAGTAAGGGCTCGAGCACCAAAGACTCCTTTACAGTCGCTTCTTGGTATCGCAGAACAACAGCCGGAGAGTTCCAGCACTATTGCTACCTGTGTAATTTTTTTTCCAATAATTAATCAGTAATTATGCATTTGAAACATGCTAATCGAGTTATGTACTTTAGGAAGAATTTAATAGCGAAACCAATACTTCTTACATAACGGCGGAGGAATATTTTGACCCGGCTGTCGATTTGAAGGGAAGAGATATAGGTAGACCAAAAGAAGTTAATATAAAATCACAAAAATTCAAGGTATTGTAGATTGATTTGAAAACTGTACATGAAGTATAATATTATATTTGATACTGATTGAGGCAATTTTTTCACATTCAGGCAACTTTATGGTTAAGCGAGAATTATCCATTAAGCCTTCAAGAACAAATTATGCCAATTGTTGATCTGATGGCTCTATCTAGTTCACATTTCGCAAAATTAAAAGATTTCATTCAAATGCAACTTCCAGCTGGTTTTCCTGTTAAAATTGGTAAGATTGATTTAAGTACGATGGGTAGGTTGTATCGAATGTTATTAATATGTTGCATACAAACATACCAATAATCAATTCTTGTTTTTAGAAATTCCATTGTTCCACATTCTCAACGCAAGAATAACATTTGGAAATATATTTGGCTTGGATCAAGAAGTAGACCATGTAGGCCAATTACAAGAAACTAATCGGTTAACTTGCTTAATTGACGATATTTGTTTCGAAGCACCTACCGGATATGTGAAATTAGGTAAAAATTTTGTCTTACACATAAATATTCTTCTATAATTAATATGTACAATTTGTCTAATTTATATTGGTTGAATGTAGGAGCAGGAGGTAGGACACAATTCAATGTTGAAGAAGAGGACGATTTGTTGCAGTTTGCGATACAGCAAAGTCTTTTAGAAGCTGGCAGTGAACGGGATGAGGTATTGTTGTTTTTTCTTTGTATTCTCTTTTGTTTTATAATTATCAAAGTCACGTATGCATGTGTTTCCCTGTTTTACGCGAAAAATATTATTTTACACAGGTTGATATATGGGAAGCATTAAGAGCGCAAAAGCCATCTAGACCAAATACACCTAATATGAGCACTGAAGAAGAAAGGCAACTTCAGAGGTATGCAACAAATACTTATTAAACGCAATGTTATCGATGTTCTGTTTTTGGTTTATTTTATTATTAATTTTGCATGTGCTTTTCTGCTACAATTCATGTTCAGACAGGTGGGTAATTTTATTGCAAATATCAATATTGGGTAAATTAGCTCCATTCCTCTAGAAATCGCTCGTATTTAAATTACTGCAGAATAAAAAGATCAGAAAGTAACTTTGTATTACATTTTTAAGAAGTTTTTACTAATTGTTTTCAACCCTAGGGCGATTCAGGCTAGTTTAGTGCTGTATCAAGAGACTACAGCTGGATCTACAGAAGGTACTGCGAATCCAGTGGGTATAAACGAAAGCGAAGATAGTGATTCTCTCGAAGATACTGCAGAACAATTGAGATTAGCGTTAAAACTTTCCGAGCAGCAACAAATGGAAGAAGAGCAACAACGGTTACTGGAAGAAGAAACGTTTCGTCATGTGCTGGAACTATCTTTGACGGACAAGTAAACTTCTAAAATGTGCAATAGTGATAAAAACAAATTCATTACAGTATATACTTCCAAAAGTGAAAACTCTTCCAGTCTCAAGAAACGAGAGACTGTACAAAAAAATCATTTCCTACATTTCATAGATTACAAAGTGCATTATGGAGTAATAATGTTGCTTACAATGAACACTTGTTATTAAAGTATACAGCAAGTCAAAAGATGGAAATAGTATAGTAGTAGTTAAGCAAATGAATAATTTAAATTATGTTATTTATTCCTCAGCTACATTTTATATGAGATAAAATTCTTCAATACTCTAGACATCTCAGAAAGAATGTAACGAAGTCTTGAAAATTACAGCTCAGATAAAAATGCAGTCACAATCGACAAACAATCAAATTGTGTTTGTGTAAATCCTATCAACTGAAAGTAAATAATGTAAGTTACAACTGTTAATATCTAGAATAAAATGGCATGTAATTCTCAAGCCTTCAAAAATTATTCGTCTGGTCCTTTTTCCTCAGTTTAATCTCTACTTCTATGAATTCGTAAGTGCATATTGATAATTGAAATACGATGATGCAGAAAGATGTAACTGCTATCTTTAATCAAATCAAACATTTTTACAAGGATCCCTTTTCATATCTACAATAATTCTATATGTATAATATTTTAATGAAATGGTATATAATGAACTATTAGGAATATACAAAAAGTATTTGTAAGTGTCTAGCCCTCCTTCCAAAGTTTTTCATAAAGAATAAACTGAGGATATAAAATTAGTGCGAGAGGATTAATAGTATATTATTTATTATTTCAGATAAGTGAGTTTTATTTTTGTAATTATACATATATGTATATGTTATTTTGCTGTAAAATGTTTTATTTATGCACTTAAGAGAAAAAATTATTATATTCCATTATTTTTTATTAAAAGAAAAGTTACAAGTGCGTCACAATTTCCCTTTGTGTTAAGAGTAGACAATTTGTTATCATTAAAATAGCATACCAAAACATGATTACATTTTTCTTCTGGGCATTATAAATAAAAAAAAATTGCATTCATATAAGATATAATTACATCTGCATGTATGCGTTCACTCACCAACGAAGATGTGTAGAAAAATAGAAAATAAGAAATTATTCCCTGATGACATAATAGAAATTACCAGGAGTAGACTTGTCAGCGGCGGAAGAACCGGCAGTCACTGGACTGCCACATTTCTGCTATTCAAACTCTGACTGTGCCCTGAAATATGATTAAAAGTACACTATAATTTTTATCGGAGAAAAAATCTATATCAATCGACATCTTTTACACAAACTTTGTAAAAATGGTGCCAAGTATAGTAGCGCTCTGTAAATAACGTTGCTCGTTTTTATGCGCCTGCTGATGCCACTTTTTGCGTATAGCATTCCACCGTTCGGTATGATCTTTCATTAATTGCTCCTGCGTTTTGAGAGTTTGTCCCTCCTGTAATTATATTACATACAATTTGTATCTGTTATAATATAATTGTTATTAACACAAAAATGTGTACAGTATATACATTTTCTTATTCTTAAAACTTCAATATAGTAGCTATAAATAGTTTGAATAATTTTTTAATCAGCCTCTGTAAACCGACATGTACATACATGAGAGGAAAGTCGGAATCACATTCGAGACTTGCCGTCTGAGACAATCGTTTCTACATAGAGTTACGTGTTACCTCATGAATTGTTAAAAAAATCAAATAGCATACATCTTTATTGAAATTATCGACTTACGTAATCTAAGTTCAAATCATCTTTCTCTCCGAGTATAGGGGACGGAACGCGATTTCTTGGTATGGCTTCTTCACGAGGCAAAGGAGGTGGTAAATAATGGACGTCATTTATCTCGCCGTCAGCGCCAATTAAATTATCTGCCATGCTAACTTCGTTAATTATTTCTGGACTTGGACTACGTATCCTATTCACAAATCAATGTGCTGATGTTATTTTAGTTTTGCATAAATATATAAATTCAGGTGCGAGAAAAAGGGAAATAAACATTTTTATAATGACTTAATTTAATCAAAATAACAAAAATAACTAAATTTTTTAAAAATAAGTTAATGACGGGCAATGAGAGTAAAGCGTCCTTATTGTTGCGCGAATTTGTCATATCATATAATTAAGTAGTATACATTATCCAAACTAAGGATGACACAAACGTACGTACCGAAACGTATACTATATTTAATTATATGTGATAATAAATTCACACAAAACGGTATCTTTCTCCCTCTCTCACTGCCCATCATTACCTTATTATTTTAAACTTTATCGTTAAGTACTGTCTTATTTTTCTTATTATACATAATTTTTTAAACGATAAGAAACACAAAAAATGTCAAGTATAATCAAATATTTGAAAATACGATAAATCACTCCAGACTTTAATGTAGCAAGGAACATACGCGCATATGAGTGAAGTATCTATATTTGTAATTTTACTTAGGGACCAAATGGGGATTCCTCGGTTGATTGGCCATCCAAGCGCGGCATATCGGATAGAGTGGCGTATCCTCTTGAAATTGAGCTAAATCAACACTGCGGTCAAATAATTTCATCACGTACGTGTGATGAAACGCCAGATCACTTTGTATCGGCCGGCGGCGTCTGACTTTCTTGGCTTGTTGGACGTTCACGGATTTTGTCCTAAACGTCACGAATCATCGAAAGATCTGGTTAGTCTCGAGCAGGCAGTATTCCACGTAATTGTAAAGCAACGGCGAGGCTTACATCTTTTTCATGGGATGTTTATAGTCCGAGATGGGGCTGTCGTCCGATTCCGCCGACGAACCGGTGTCACTGTGCTGTAACAATTCTCGAAGAGCACCCTTCAGTCGATCCCTCGCTACAAGAACATCGCTATCCCCTGTACAAACATAATCGCTACAATATCCAATATATAATACAGTTTGTAAGGATGTGTTGCTCTCCGTCCATTGTTACCTATCTCGTCTTTTATCTCCACTTTGATCCGTCCCGGCATTATTGGCGGTTGAATATTTCTTTTCTTCCCCATCTAATCGTCACATACAAGGTACAAAATTAATCTCTGCTTACATCAGCACGCGTTTACGCAGGCAATACAAACTACTCCAAAATCATTGTTACTGTAACGCTGACTTATCCTTAATGGTTAAACAGGCAAATTTACACATTTATACAGTAAGCAAAAAGCATTACTTTCAACACTGCTCGAGCCACATGGAAATATTATCGGGCTTAGTACATCAAGTTGAAACGCATCGACACTCCACGTTCGTCCAGGAATAGGAAGTGTATGTCTCTCGTGTGCCTGGAATGAATGATTAAATTGTAGTTCCCGCTGCTGAAACGATGCGGACTATCGGAGAGCAAACTCTCACACTTTTTCCGAAAGATCACATTTGGAAAGCAATGACCGCGCAATGCAACAATCGTCCGACAGCAATCGCGTATACTTGTAGCCCGATTAAATATCGGTTTTTTTTCCAAGTACACCGAGACAACCTTGTCCCCAAGCGTGACCTAACTGCGACCTAACCTATACGGTCACGCCTGCGCGGCGGCGGTCGCGGCAGCTGTCGCTGTCAGGGGTGTGTGTCTGCCCCCCGCTTGGCTGCACCACGTTGTATCTTCTACACCCGAAACGGAGCGAGCATCTCTCATCGTGGACGTCGCGAATCGAATGGAGAGCAGAGAGAAAGGAAGAAAATAACGAGCGGTAGAAAAAGTTCAGCTACGCTGCACCTCACGTGAAACAATACATGTGTGCGATCAGATGTTGGAGGAACGGAGAAGGGGTAAGAATCGAGGAGAGTTCAACTACGAGGGGCAGACCTTTAGCGCGAGCCTCGTACGTACCCCCCTCGTAGCTGCGTTATACACAGCGTTCGGGAAAGTCGAAGCAATGTGCGTACAGAGTTGTTACGACGAAGTTATCACCGACAAAATGCTCTTGTCGCAGATGGGAAGATACGGTCATTGTATCAGAATGTATTATGTCAAATAAATTGAGCGGAAAAGAGAAAAGAAATATATATATTTACGTGCGCGTCTGTGGACTGTGTGACATGGTTGTGACGCTGTAGGGCTACAGAATGCTTCGGAAACTGTCGGCTGAGATCCTGATATTTTGTATGGTGGCAGATATCTCCCTCGCCCTCGATTACTCCAAACGTAGCGGCAGCCACGAGTGTAGATTGGGATCGAAGACTCCTTACAGATGCGTGGCTAATCACGACGAGTCGCCGTTGGCATATCCAGGTAACGCGTTAACGCACGGGGCTTCCAACGGCGCGTATTTATCGCTGTTTAACTTGCAGACTGCGTGGAGAAGAAGATTTGGCTAATTCTGCGCCACGGGACTCGGTATCCAGGCAAGAAGTACATACCTCGGATGATAGACGACTTGCCGGAGCTGCAGCACGTGATATTGAAAAATCATGCGAACGGAGCGACGAATCTGTCCGCCGACGACGTGGCTCTGTTCAGGGGGTGGAAGTTGCCGTTTGGACGAGGGCACATGATGAAACTGGCTCTGGAGGGGGAGAACGAGATGATCGATCTCGGAGAGCGGTATCAGGCGAGGTTTCCGTCTCTGATGCCGGAGGCTTTCGACAATCGGACGTACAAAGTACGCACGACCAAGTATCCGAATGTATCGATTACGCTCCTTTACGCTCCTCCAATCACCAGCTGAATTTCAGTTTAGATTCACTGCCACACAACGTACGGAAGAGAGCGCGAGGCACTTTGCCGTCGGTTTATTCGGCTGGCACAATAGCAAAAGTGTTTGGTATCCATTGCCGGTGTATCGAGACCGCGTGATAAGAGTAAGACGCCAGTGCATTTAAATTCTCGGTCTATTTGCTCCCCTAACTTTCCCAGTTCTTTAGGCTGTGTGACTGCTGGTGTGTTTCTAGTTTTACAAGGCC